CAAATCAGTCGCAAAGCAATCAATTTCATCAGCAATTACAGAGCGCTAACTCATCGGCCGCTTTGGCTAATAATAATCCTCTCCTAACAGCTCCTTATCCTCAAGATTTATCTCTCAGATCAGCTGCCATGCTGTCCGCCCATCATCACCACCAGTCCCTAACACATCCAGCGTTCAGCTTATTTAGCGGACCCACACCGTTGGCACGCATCGACCCCTCCAGACTAGATCCGGCCCTCATCGGCCGATTAGGTCCTTCAAGTGATGCTGAAGATCATGATCTCGATGGCGATGATGTGGACGACGACATGTGTTCCTCAGATGGCGATGAGGACCGCAATTGTAGTGATAAGAGTAACTCAAGCAGTAAGTCATTCAATCATTCAATCATTCATTCATTACTTTCACTTTAATTTCGTAATATATTATTAATTTATTAAATAATATAATTATTGACTTTATTTATAATTGATTTAATAATGATTTTATATGAGAGTCTTTCCGCAATATTCCTAATTAATAATCATTAATTAAAACTAATAAAATATATGAATTGATTTTCTGCCAATGAATTGCTATAATAATTGCTAATAAATAGTATTGTTTTTATGTATAATTGTTTGCAAATTGCAATCTAACCGCAAGTAGCGATCAATTAATAAATAATTATTAGCCATTAAATAGGCATTGATTTTGCCCTCAATAGCAGTGCTCTATAGAGTGTGACGAGTTTTAATTGTGGTCTCATCGCAGCAATAAGTACTAACCGCAAGTAGCGATCAATTAATAAATAATTATTAGCCATTAAATAGGCATTGATTTTGCCCTCAATAGCAGTGCTCTATAGAGTGTGACGAGTTTTAATTGTGGTCTCATCGCAGCAATAAGTATAATAAATTGCTGTCTTATGAGGAACTCTCGATTGTCGGTCACAAGTACTGCAAGTACTGCAGGAATACACCTGAGATATACTCTTTGAATGTCACTGTCTTTACTGTCTTTACTGTCTTTACTGTCTTTACTGTCTTTACTGTCTTTACTGTCTTTACTGTCTTTAAAGTCTCCGCACATTCCGTGGTGTGTGTGCTCTGACAGTGCCGTTGCTTTCGCTTTCTCTCGTTTTTCATATGATAGGGCACTCATAGGCTACTGATAGGGCTGTGCACTTCATCAGTCTTTCACAGCGTATGGGGCAATAAAACCATTTAAAATCAATTTTGTTGGACTCGAGTCTTAATTATTTTATTACTTCTATTATATAGTATTCTCTGTTGAGAATTGGTTTCAATAGTATTTTAAAGCGTCGATTCTTTTGACTCCACTTATAGGCTGTAATAATACCTCAAACGCTAACCAACGAAATGATGTGGTCTTAAAGATGCAGAAGAAACAAAGGAAAGCCAGGACTGCATTCACTGACCATCAGTTACAAGTGAGACACCCTTTCCTTACATCAAACCCGCCATATATCCACTTAATCTTCATTTATTTTGACAGTTTAATCGATTATTTTATATTTAATTTTAATGTATTATGCAATCATTATATTTAATGATCAAAATTACTTATTTGTGACCCAAATATTGACTTTTAATTCTAGATAAGCTTTTTTAATAATAATATTGTAGTTATCAAATCATTTGAAAAAATAATTTTCCTATTAATGAATTTCTCGTATTCAATAGACTTTAGAGAAAAGTTTTGAGCGCCAGAAGTACCTCTCAGTTCAGGATAGGATGGAATTGGCGGNTTTAAATGCATTATCTGAAAGTTTTGGGTATTTTTGTCAACTTCGATATTACCTCTGTGTTACATTATAATGACAAACATTGAACTCACATTAGCGATATTTACCCGTACATTACAGTACTTTTGTATTGATATTTAACTTAATTTGATTAAAACTGGTATAACTTATATAATAAATACTGTGTGAAAGTATGTGCAAATAGAATATTGTAGTTACAAATATTGAATTATATTAATCAATATAACTAATTTTCATTTCAAATAAAATAATAATCATATTTGTGCGCTAGTGATCCAGCAGTTCAATATGCCTATAATATATCTAGATAATATATCTAGTGTTTAAACAGAATAAGTTTGTAGTGTACCAGTTGAGTAAAATTGCCAAAAAACTGTATTACTGTGATCTAAAACATGATAAGTCTTTCCCACTATAAATGGGTTTGAAATAAAATTCAAACAAAGAGTCGATTTTCAGCTCATTTATTGTTACTATAATTAGTGGTTTTTAATAATTTACAGAATTTGATGAGATTGAAAATTTGAATTGAGATTATATTGTATGATAAAAATAGTGCCACAAATTGAAAACAAAAAACATTTTCCAGTTCATAGAGAATAATGTATTACAGAAAACATGATTCATGCAAAACATTATTTTATAATATAAGTTAAGCTACAATATTATAATAGTATTACGGTATCATTATATGTACTCATAACTTATTTATTATTTCAAGTCTCACACTATTTAAAAAGCAATTATTATTATTATTATTTTATTATTATTACGATTTAGCCGTAAATAGAGTCCAATTTGTCTGTAATGTTGTGCGAGAAATACTCCTCCAAAACATTTGGATGTTTTGTACATAATTTCAAAAGCATTTAATATACATTTCACTCGTAATCAAACAGAATAGTCATAATTATATGACTCGTTTGCTCTGATATAGAGTCCGAACATTGAGTGTCAAATGTTATCAACTATTAAATGCTTGTGATTGAATAAAATTAAAATAAATGCCTATTTAAATAGATTTCATATAATAATTGGATGAATGAATGGAAACAAAAGTAAAGCTTAGAAGCGATGTCTTGTCACTCACTGCTGGAAAGGGATTGCATTCCCATTGAGAGAACATAACATAAAAGGCACTTAACATATCAAACAAAATACTAGTCGTATATCTTATTTATAGTACTTTTATCGGAACTACCGTTTCGTATGACTACTGGTGTGGGGACGAGGAGTTGGCGTAAACGGAATGTTGTGGCGGTGAGGATGGGGTGGCTGTGGATGGGGTGCCCGAAGAGTTCATCATTAATTGCTGTTGAGATGAGGCCAGTGTTGACAACGAACTTAAATACAATGGATTGAAACGGTTTGGTGTCGGGTATATGGGAGCGGTGGTAGGCTTCTGGAGCACAGCCGCCGCCTGTCTATAGTAGAGATCAAATGGATGGGCGCCGGCTGTCGACGGCGGAGTGGCTAACGATGCGGTCGTATTGCCGTATTGGCTCAACCAATAGGGCGACGTCTGGAGCATACGCTGAACGGCCGCATAATTGCCCGCTTCGGCCAACAGCTCCAGACCTACCGCTGTCTGTCGTTTCCATTTGGTTCTGTCAATGAGTAACACATTTCCACATTTAAACCTTGTTCATTTACTTCAATTTCATTCAAACACTCATTAATATTGTATACTTTGTTTGATTGATATACTCATTGATATGTAAGTAATGCATAAAACGCTGTATAAGTTAGTCATGAATTTAAGGAAAAAACTTGCCTTCGGTTTTGATACCAAGTCTTGACCTGAGTGTCAGTCAAATTCAATTTGGCCGCCAATTCCATCCTATCCTGAACTGAGAGGTACTTCTGGCGCTCAAAACTTTTCTCTAAAGTCTATTGAATACGAGAAATTCATTAATAGGAAAATTATTTTTTCAAATGATTTGATAACTACAATATTATTATTAAAAAGCTTATCTAGAATTAAAAGTCAATATTTGGGTCACAAATAAGTAATTTTGATCATTAAATATAATGATTGCATAATACATTAAAATTAAATATAAAATAATCGATTAAACTGTCAAAATAAATGAAGATTAAGTGGATATATGGCGGGTTTGATGTAAGGAAAGGGTGTCTCACTTGTAACTGATGGTCAGTGAATGCAGTCCTGGCTTTCCTTTGTTTCTTCTGCATCTTTAAGACCACATCATTTCGTTGGTTAGCGTTTGAGGTATTATTACAGCCTATAAGTGGAGTCAAAAGAATCGACGCTTTAAAATACTATTGAAACCAATTCTCAACAGAGAATACTATATAATAGAAGTAATAAAATAATTAAGACTCGAGTCCAACAAAATTGATTTTAAATGGTTTTATTGCCCCATACGCTGTATCGCACAACATTACAGACAAATTGGACTCTATTTACGGCTAAATCGTAATAATAATAAAATAATAATAATAATAATTGCTTTTTAAATAGTGTGAGACTTGAAATAATAAATAAGTTATGAGTACATGTAATGATACCGTAATACTATTATAATATTGTAGCTTAACTTATATTATAAAATAATGTTTTGCATGAATCATGTTTTCTGTAATACATTATTCTCTATGAACTCGAAAATGTTTTTTGTTTTCAATTTGTGGCACTATTTTTATCATACAATATAATCTCAATTCAAATTTTCAATCTCATCTAATTCTGTAAATTATTAAAAACCACTAATTATAGTAACAATAAATGAGCTGAAAATCGACTTTTGTTTGAATTTTATTTCAAACCCATTTATAGTGGGAAAGACTTATCATGTTTTAGATCACAGTAATACAGTTTTTTGGCAATTTTACTGAACTGGTAGTGCACTACAAACTTATTCTGCTTAAACACTAGATATATTATCTAGATATATTATAGGCATATTGAACTGCTGGATCACTAGCGTACAAATATGATTATTATTTTATTTGAAATGAAAATGAGTTATATTGATTAATATAATTCAATATTTGTAACTACAATATTCTATTTGCACATACTTTCACACAGTATTTATTATATAAGTTATACCAGTTTTAATCAAATTAAGTTAAATATCAATACAAAAGTACTGTAATGTACGGGTAAATATCGCTAATGTGAGTTCAATGTTTGTCATTATAATGTAACACAGAGGTAATATTGAAGTTGACAAAAATACCCAAAACTTTCAGATAATGCATTTAAAATATAATGATAATGCATTATAAAATCACACACACACGAGAGAGAGAGAGAGAGAGAGAGAGAGAGAGAGACAGACAGACAAACCTTTTTCGATACTATTCTCGCAATCATTCAATTCAAGAGAGAGAAGTATTTATTGTTAAGTATAGATTGCATTTTATTTAGGGTTTAGTGATTTAGCAATTTACGGTCATTAGGATAGAATATTAGTCAAACTACCTTTTTATTTTGTTTGCCTCTATTATCAAGCACACTAATAGTTTTAGTAAATACAGTATAGCCGCTATACTATAGCGTATATATTTTCGGTGAATACAAAGACAGGCTTTTTATTTTCAATATTTGATTATTAGTTTCATATCAAAAAGTTTAGAAAACAAAACATTTATTTAAGCGATGCTTTCTATGTTAAGAAAGCGACTCAAATATGATGGAAAGCAAAAAGTATGCAAAAAACTTGTGACACAAAATTGCATTTATGATGGCCTTCGATGGGCTCACAAAATATAGTGAACGGAATCTCTACACTAACTGACAATCACAAGGTCTGAGACGAAAAAAGCGATACTTTTTTGCCTATTTTCTCGTCTATTATATTTCTATAAGTTTTTTATTCACCAAAAATAATCAGAGGTTATATATGTCTACGCGAAGGAGAAATGTTTAAATAGTGTTCATATGTTGGACACCAGTGTCTGAGTGGCGAACAAAGAGTAGTGCAGCTGTTGTTGTGCTGTTTGGGCTGTTGTTTCAGAAATGAAGTCCTTATTAAAAGCTAAGGAATCGTTTTCACACAATGACAGAGTCGAGAGGAATAGCGGAACAAATTGTTTTGCTTTCAGATCGAGCTTTTATCGCTAACTTTCTATACATGAGCTCTGTCTTTAGCTAGTTTTCTATGAGAAAGTAAAGCAATATTTGTTATAAATCGCTACTAGCCTTACATCTGAGGTCTTTTGCCAGAATTGCTTGCATTCCGGTTTTCAATGCACCAAAAAAATATATCTACTCTTATGTCACTTATAGACGATTTTAGAGTCGATTTTACAAGAGAGTAGATATTTTTGGCAAATATATACTCGACTACCAGTGTATATAAATTATACGGCAATCTATACTTAACAATAAATACTTCTCTCTCTTGAATTGAATGATTGCGAGAATAGTATCGAAAAAGGTTTGTCTGTCTGTCTCTCTCTCTCTCTCTCTCTCTCTCTCTCTCAGCAAACAATTCTCAGATTCTTTTCAATTGGACGCCATTTGATCGCTATTTTCATGGTCTGTGAGAACGAGAGTCTCGCAAACTTTTTTGTCACCAAATATTTTACTTACGATATAATGGGTTTGCATGAAAATGTATTCGCGTTTCGTATATAATAAACATTTCTCGCAATTAGTATATAATTTAAAGAATTGTTTTAAAAACCCAAATAATAGTGGAATATCTGTGCGAGTAATCAGTTGTCAGGAAAGGGATTCGAGCGTAAAGTATATGTATCTCTAAATAAGATTAACTATTCATTAGTAAAACTCTATTAAAATGCTATTCAATTGCACTAAAAGCTGAATACAAACATTGAGTAGATTTTTGGTGGAGTGAAGTGGAAAAGCAAACTCAAAAAAGTGAATTAATAGTGTTTTAGTTGTAAATGGCTTTCACTGTAAATAATTTGTCGATTTTTATCATAAAGTTTTTATAAGTTCATAATTGTTTGCGCCCTTGAAATACAGTATTGATAATAACGAATGCATTTGTCATTTTAACACATGGCTACTCATCGTTATAAACGGAAACATTACCTGAAATTTAATTTAAAAATTGTCGCCATTATTAGCCAAAACTTTATTCAAGTACTACACTATCAAAGCCAACCGTCTGTCCAAAACTAAAACTTATTATTACTATTATTACGATCGACTATGCGTTCACTTTTCAATACATAAAACTCTATTATAACTAATGTTTGATTCTCGAGTCTCTCACATAGTTTTTCTCATTGCTATGAATGTAATATTAATGTCATTAATATCCGACTCTTTCATACAGTTTACGATTTAGTGCTAAATATTATCTATTGTTAGTTAGCATTCGTGCAGACGTTTACAGACTTTTGCAGAATTTACTCATTTAATTGAGAATAATTGTTAATATGTTGTGAGAATCCGAGGGAAAGTTAGTCAAAGTATTATTACAACCGGCAGAGAGAGAGAGAGAGAGAGAGAGATTTGCATCTATTTGTAGACATAATATTATCATTTATTTACTTCACTTTATAAAAGAAAATAAATGATTGACACAGTGAAGATATCATTATATTAAATATAATGTGTAATATATTTTATTTAATAAAATCAATACCAGAAACATGACTATCCAGTTAAAGAGAGAGAGAGAGAGAGAGAGATAAGAGCCTAGAACATTTGCAAATAGTTAATAGTAGTGTTTATTTTGATTTAAAACCTCTTATTTGAAGACACATTCAAAGAGTTATTCTTTTGTCCCAAAAGAAGAAAAGAAAATTGTTTTTAAAAAACGTTTTGGAGAATCGATTGTCTCTCGGGTTTGTTATTCAAAATAAATACTTTAAACAGATTTCGTGTCAGACTTTATATATTTATTTGGGAAACGATTTTCTCTATACAACTCAAGAACTTAACTAATTTTATAGTCCAGTGATTGCAATACAAACACAAATATAAATACAAAAGTAATTGTGTTTTGTGTACAGAAATCAGTCTTCACTCAAATACACATTATAATACATTATATACATTATATTTTTCATATACAGTAATTAACACATTTTTTTGCTACTCCCTTATGATAACAAATTTTAACCATAATTTTAAATTATAGAGCATTTAATATGTAATAACTTGGAAAAAGTTAAAGGGACCATAAACACCACTAAACTATATATTAAACCTTTAAAAAATATAAAAATCTACGATATATTTGAGTGACTATCAACGAGTACCTATTGTATTGATGAGAGTGAATAGGATTGCGTG